AGGAACCAACGTTCACCCTCTGGATCAACCAGTAAATGTTTATTCTCGGCAGTAGTAATGTTAGGAACCAACGTTCACCCTCTGGATCAACCAGTAAATGTTTATTCTCGGCAGTAGTAATGTTAGGAACCAACGTTCACTCTATAGAAACATTGAAACGTGATATGTTAAATGTGTAACTATAGAAACCTTGAAACGTGATATTTTAAATGTGTAACTATAGAAACCTTGAAACGTGATATTTTAAATGTGTAACTATAGAAACCTTGAAACGTGATATTTTAAATGTGTAACTATAGAAACCTTGAAACGTGATATTTTAAATGTGTTACTATAGAAACCTTGAAAAGTGTTGTTTATTGTAAAAGTTAAATTTTTATCAAAAAAACTGTAATAAAAGATTTTACTAACTAGGTACCTACCAGTTGCTAATTCATGCCACCAGTTTATATAAACATTATTCAAATTATCTTGAATTATTCGAACTTGTATTTGTTTACGTTTTTAATGTTATAGCCATCAATCTAGAAACATGTGCAATTTTTTAATTGGTTTAGTGTTACCACAAATTCACTATAAAATATATCAACATTAATTTACCCATACAGCTGGTGTGTTCTGACTTACCTAAGATGACTGAAGACTTCCAAAACTTTCAAACCTGTAAACAAAGGATACAGTGTTCATTTAAACAACAACAATCAAGTTTTTTTTTAACCTCGTGTACAAAATGTACTTCAAAGGTTAACAATTATACCATTTACTTCTGTTTATGGTTTTAGCTTTAATCAAGCTGTTATGGTTTACATGTATGTATAAAATACACCTTTTAAATACTGATGTCTGACTTTCTTACCTTAGAGTTAACCTGATTATCGTACTTCATTCAGATACTGTCTGTGACTCTCTTATCTTAGAGTTAACCTGATTATCGTAAGTTATTCTGATACTGTCTGTGACTCTCTTACCTTAGTGTTAACCTGATTATCGTAAGTTATTCAGATACTGTCTGTGACTTTCTTATCTTAGAGTTAACCTGATTATCGTAAGTTATTCTGATACTGTGTGTGACTTTCTTACCTTAGAGTTAATCAGATTATCGTATGTTATTCAGATACTGTCTATGACTCTCTTACCTTAGAGTTAACCTGATTATCGTAAGTTATTCTGATACTGTGTGTGACTTTCTTACCTTAGTGTTAAACATCTTATCGTACTTCATTCAGATACTGTCTGTGACTCTCTTACCTTAGAGTTAATCAGATTATCGTAAGTTATTCTGATACTGTGTGTGACTTTCTTACCTTAGAGTTAACCTGATTATCGTATGTTATTCAGATACTGTGTTTGACTTTCTTACCTTAGAGTTAACCTGATTACTGTACCTTATTCAGATACTGTATAATAAAATCTTGGTCAGACACTGTATCACGTACATAGTAGGTACAAATAACTGTTCTGTTACTATAGTGATATTACGGATACCGCACTAGTCCTAGCTGTCTAGCTGTTCTCTTTCTATAAAACAAATGTGACGTGAATATTTAGGCTAAGCATCTTCTAATCGGACTTAGTTCAGAATATTTACCAATAAATTCGTTTCGAATTCGGATTCGCTCCTTTGTCGTAAGAGCAGAGATGATGAGACAGTTGACAAAAGTAACCAGTACTGTCTGATATTCCACACTTTTCGTGTTCCTCAGTTCATCGACGACTACCTTTAACCTGTACCTTTCACATTTCTTCTCCTAAAAATAATAAGATCCTCTCTATTAATACCATGTAGTAAAATGTATATGTTTACATCCACAAGAAACTATTCAGTTTTGAATTACAATTGACATACCCAGGAACACCAGCGAACAGAAGATTGAACACACACAGACACAGATGGAAATGATAACACATTTTATGCAGCATGTTGTGTTCTAAAGTTTCCAACAGATGGTTGATATGTATATATCTGTGTGTGTGTATGTATCTGCGATAAGGCCGTGGACTTGTAATGCTAAAAATTGGATTCCGATACCTGTGATACCGATTGTGTACCTTAACTAGAAACAAACAAATTTCTGTAAATGGACAGTATCACGTACCTTGTAGAATTCTAAGGTCTCCAAAGAGCGGTCATATCCTTCCTGGCTGTACACACACAGAGCAGAGAGAAGTTCAAACACCTGTTTCTTGGCCGTCAAGTTGTTGGTAGCTAGAGCTGAAATGACACAGTTTGTTGTGTATAACTTAGAGTTAGTTGTGAATATTACTTTATCAATGTTATCTTCTGTATTAACACTATACTAGTGACTATATTCAGTTAATGCTATCTTCTGTATTAATACCATACTAGTGACTATATTCAGTTAATGTTATCTTCTGTATTAACACTATACTAGTGACTATATTCAATTAATGTTATCTTCTGTATTAACACTATACTAGTGACTATATTC